CAAATACGTTTATATTGCTTTGATTGCAAGTATCTTTAAATCTACCATCACATGAATCATCCCTTTCACATAAATGATAATTACCGTTCTTAGTTACATCTGTTTCCTACAGTCAGCAAAACATTATTTTTGTTTCATTGTAATGCTAATCATGCCTTACACAGATGTAGCTCATAGGTTTGTTTTTCCTTGTTTATTTTCCACTTCGATTAATTATTCGGTTACCTTCTCTATTGCTGAAGATGTGTAGGAAACTATTGCTTACATAAATGATAGGTAATCGTATGTGCGCAACTCGTAAAACACATAATCATCCTTGCCGATTTCAGTGGTATCACTGAAAATGCAGTCACAAATGTCGCTACATCCTTGAGAGCCAGTCAAAGCCAAAAGCATCAAAACGAATCCAACCTGTATATAGCACATAGTGAAATTAGTCATCGACTAACGTGCCCAGTGTATTTGCAATTGAAATCATTGTATGCTGACACTTTCATAGATCACGGTTTTGTATGATATGGTGATTATTATTCTTTGAAACCAAAAAGAAATTAATGTTATCACATATCTTGTGACACGATGCGTCTTAGTGATTCCTGAACCTATAAAAGTAATATCAATTGTGACAAATATCATGACTAGCAAATCTAAATAGTGTATCAGAATTATTGTATCTTTACGTTCATCATCTTTGGAATTAATTATTGTATTGATAAAGAAAAGTATAATCATTATTATGTAAAGATACGACATACGTGCAGGAAATCCATTCTCCACTGTTGACTGTTGCACTTACGCCGGGATCATTTGCAAGAATATAAATTTTAGTATATATCATACTTTCCACCAATGACAGACTGACACATACCTGTAATTATGAATGCTGCTATCTTTTTTTTAACCCAAGCCTTGAAAAATAGCATACATCACTTTCTCTCCAGGCCTTTGTAACAAACGAAAGTGACTTATCTTGATAAAATCAAGCTGGAAATTATTGCCACAAGTTAAAATTTACAAAATGAAGCTTTCATGTTGCATTTTGTTTATTTCTCTCAATTCTAAAAACGTTTGTTAACAAATAATACGCTCTCACTCGATTTTCCTTTTTTACTACATGGCTCGATTGAGTAAGTAACAGTTTTACTTAATCAGACATGAAAATAAGATATGTTTGTGTGGAATTGTGAGAATAGGTGAAACTACAAATTGAAAAATACATCAATTATTCCATTAATGTCAAAGAAACATTGTTCCTGTAGTGATTCTAAAGTTATTGAAACACGTTTCTCTCTAGAATGTGATTTAATAAGCGGTATTTATAAAGATAGATGTATGCATACTTACATGAAAATCAACCTCACGATTTCAGATCATATCTTAATAATATTTTTCATTATCCAATATCATTTAAAAGTCGAGCGTTAAGAAATGGAAGGTTACGTGTCGCACAAACAATACATATATATTTATCATAATTAAGAATCAAAGATCACAAACGCATTCTAATTAAGACCCTTCTAAAACTTACATGACACTCCTTAGATGCCATAAAAGCACTGCATGCAATAAAACACATATCATAATTACTTATATAATCGTATATCCAATATCCCCTATATTATTGTTTGGATACTAAAAAAAACATTACTATCCAATCAGAACACATAATATCATAATGCATACAATACCATATAAAGAGAAAATAAGATAATTTGTCGGATGTTGTGATATTGTTGACTTGATTAAAATTATTGGTAATGGACAAATTATGATTTTGTTTTTCAAAAGAAATCAACAGCTTCAAACAGTTTTACATAGACGTTATCCACTACATCAGTCTGATTCAAAAAGTAGCAAAAATCAGTTTACATCTTAATGTACTCTGAGTAGTGATGTGCAGTTATGTTTGGCTTTTAGCTAAACATTAAGACGCATTATCATACAAGTTCTAAGTGATATTTTTTATCAATCGATAAAGAACTGCAGGCAATTTCTCATTCCTGTTTTAAAAGCGAGTCGAATCTATTTTTATATTTAACGCGGTGAATCGCCTGTCATTGGTTACTCTTACTGATTGGTTTTTACTTTTTTCCAATCTGCACTGTTGATGAATATGCATATCGTAGCTACAGAAGTAGTTTGTGACCTGCTACATACAATATAACGATTTGGAAGTAAGTCCGGGTATGTAAAATATATAATCAATTATTCTGTTGATTAAATTACTTAACTGATTTATGTTATTGTTATATATTAAGTCTTTGCATTTTGTTTGAGCCCAGATGTAGTGACTCTATATAAGTATACAGATATTAGAAAAATTACATACATATATCTTATGCTGAAGTGAACATTTAGAATAGCCATTGAGTTGGTGAAAAGAATTATCAAGTGTCATTTATTAACTAATCTTTTTCTTCAAACTAAGTATGAAAAATATCAAAAGTAAATCTTAATCACTAATGTTTGTTTCACAAAAAAAAGCAAGTGGTAGAGATAGTAGCCAGTCTAAGGAAACTTGTCTATTAGCCTGTATATCATATGATTAGAGAATATTTCTCAGTAAAACATATATGATCGGACACCCTGTTATTTTGTCTAAAAAGTCAAGTCTATTAATCAATCTTAAATCATATTTTTGTGTTGTCTGTACCGTACGTATGTGCAAATTTCCTTATTGTGCTGTCAGCGGTGGTATATCATATACGTTATCATAAGAAAAATTTATATGAAATATGTCTAGTAAAGATCAAAGGCGCCTTGATCGCCGAATTTTACTCATGGTAGTTTGGGACTCTCGGAAAGCTAAGGAAAGGACCGGTCTGTGCAAACGTGGTTGTGCAATTTGGCAAAACGACACTACCTTAATTGATTTGTATTTCAAGCACTGTTTGTTGTTCAATGAGGTAGCCATCAACTACCAAAACATAAAACAAACACTGCCCCTTAATGACCTAGTTTGTTCACTGGGCGATTAATCCAATCAACTGACAATTATCACAAAGCGAATTAATATCTTCGTTGAAATATTGAAATATCGTTGAAAGTTGAAATATGTCACTTTTTCTTCATTTTTCACGAGTGAAAATTATGGTCGACCATTCTTACGCACGATGTGCGAACGATGTGGACGAATTAAGCAATCGCAAACCTGCACACACGTTGTACTGTTCTATCATGGTTGATATAAATTTCGAATTTGACTTCTAGACAAGCGTGAGATAGGGTTTGTATATTTTCTAAATTTATAAGAGTACAACTATGTAGCTTTCTTAATCAATCCATAAATCTATAGGTCGGACACATCTCTCAGATGCATACTGAAGAGTTATATATACTCGTAATTTTAAATATTTGTTTACAAAGTGCCTCATGTGACCAGTCTTGGTGTACAGATATTCACCCTATATAATTATCTATCGATATATAAACATTAAATGGACGTCTCTGTTTGTCTTAAGAATGAATCATCTAAAATTTCATACCGTCAGAAAGGACATTTTATTTTCATTAGTTCTGTATTCACAAAATTTGTTCTCATGTCATGTATATACCCGTGTACAGGTATTTTTTGTTACCCGAGGCACTCCACTCGCCAATCTCTGACGTGTGAAATAATACAATGGAAAGGCTGATAATGCAAGGTTCAGTGTTATTTTGAAAACTGACATATCAATAATTAATCTTTTCTAACGACCTTTTCGTCATCCTTACATACAATATTAGCCGTTAGGTGGACAAAATGTCAAACAGGTTGCAATTGTGCATTGCATACATTGATAACCACATGTACTACCTAAAAATGATATTGATTTTAATCTAAAAAAAAAGAGCGACTTTTTTCGATGGAAATTGAAACTTCTCAACAAAATACCTATCACACCTATTACCATATATATATAGTTTGAATGTTATTTTAGAATGTGGCATCCAGGATTTATTGAGTATGTTTTCTTTACTTTTTTTATGTCTATTATATGCATTTTGATTTTTTTAATACAACAGAAATTTATTTGATCTTCTATATTTCGGTGATATTTGAAGAAATTGCCAACACCTACACCTCTCTGGGAACGTTAAATATCAATTACTACGAGTCGCTGAAATAGATTCACAACACAAAACGCTTGTAGTACTTAGGATATATACATTTCTGAAAGAGCACAATTAAAATGTACATTTGTATTTCAGAATGACAATGTGAGATTTATTTTTCTTCAAGAAGGACAACAGTTTTATTTTTTCAGTAGATAGATCTTAAGGAATGTACGGTTACCACCAATTATGAGACCGCTAAACGAACAGTCAAACGCCATATCCATGTCATCAATTTCTACAGATTTATATATAGGATTGGCTAAGCTTAGTCTTCCCACACCATTCATTTATTTATCAGTTTTTCTTGTTCTGATTGCGAAATCATTAAGAATCGGAAATGGATGACTGATGTTGCAAGAAATTATAGGACCTAATCATTTTAGATCAAGTGTCTTACGGTTCCAAATGTAGAGCTTTCAGGGAAATATTTCTTTCAAAATATGATAAATGTGATGAAGCATAATTGTCATCATTTCTTTTAACTGCAAAGCCTTTGACTAATAAAATATCCGAAATCACGTCAATGCTAAAAAAATTTAATCATGTCAAATATCAGCAACTTCTTTCGTGCGATTAAGACTCTATTTTCACCTATCTATTCCAAAATATTACAACATAATTTTTTTTCTTTACTCTGATGGAAGAATATAGTAATATTTTTACTTTTCCCCACCCTCAAAAGTGTTACAAGCTCGAGAAATATATATGATATTCAACAAGAAAGGTAAAAATTATTAATAAATCTAAATATGCTGGTGACAAAGAAGGCCATCGACAGGTTGGCCGATATCGTTTATATACGTCGATGAAACAAAGTCATAGAGTGTATCTTTATTTGCATAAACTGCTGATGATAATTTATTTTCACAATGAATATACTTCCTCGTTAGATAGCATATCTGTTAGCCACAATTACATTTTCTTGCAGAACAAGTTGTCGGAAGGAAATCGTGTCGATATGCAAAATACGATTTATTTTCTGGACATTTGTTCCAGCTACGTTTTTTCCTATTTCCGGGTTGTAGATCTGGTTGAGAAGTGTCTATGAAACCATCTTCATCGAGGCTGTCCGGTTTTGTGTCACTAAGTTCCTTTGTTCCAATAAGACAACCGTCTTCGTCAGTATAGAGTGCGTCACAATAGACAAGGTACTTCCTGTTAACTAAGCCACTGGGAACACATCGAGTGTGCATGCCACAGACAGGCTCCTCACTACAAATACAACAAAAAAACAAGAACACTGAATGATATACAAAACATATGTTGTTATTTTACAACAGAACTAAAACATACCAAGAGCACATCAACTTTATACTTTATCTGATTTGGATCAACATTACAATGCTCAACAACAAACTAGCATTTCTGTGTTCATAATACAAATGAAATCGAATCGTGCCTGATACAGTATGGTAATATATATATATAACGCCCTGCCAATGCCAGCACTGAAGATGGAAACAATGGATTTGCCGCTCTCTAGATGGCGATATGGTGTGATTTTAACAACAATCGGACGTAAGAGGACACATAACTACAACATTCAGCTTTTTTTTATATTTTGTATGTGCGGTTTGACAACCAAGCACAATGTCAGCCCGTCGTTTTTGAAGTATCCAAAAATATGTTTTTGTTCGGTGGGACATACTGGATTGCCACTGGAATAAAGAAAACAATGGTATTGACGCCGTACTACTAAAAACAATAACCATTACATGCTTGAAAATTATAACATTGAATGTTTTATTTAATGTCATTTTATTAAACATACTAAATAGCAATGATAAATATTTTTTCGTGTATCAACACTTCAGTAATTATCAATCATATCTAGATGAATAGGTAGTTGGAATTCAGAGACAGGTCTAAAATCAATGATCAAATTGGGGCCGATATGTCAAGTCAAGTTCCTATGAAACAAAATTAAAAAATAAAGTTGATTTTGTAATATCAATACAAAATATGAGACGCGAAAAGGGAAAAATGTTGGAGGTTGTGTCACGTTAGTGATATGATATGGTGATACTTGGATCCTCCGCGATTGAGTAAAACGTTATCTGCTGAGCTATATGGGTTCAAGACGGCTACAAGGGTATCCTCCCATATTAAAACAAACTGGCGTTGAAAGTTCAAAGCAAAAAAGAAAAAAACGCTTCAAATAAAGTTTGAAAGTCATTTTAAAAATTCTAACTCATTTTCTAATATAACAACTTACGTTTCTGCTAGCGGTTCGATGTTCTCTGGGAAGGTGTATATGAATGTGTTTGCCACCCAATATTCATGTAGTGCTTCCTTCATTCTTTGTCTGTAAAATCATAACACATTTTATCATTTCAGTGCTTTATTCTGGCCAGCTGATAAGGTTCAAAAATTCATATCATTCGCAAATGCAAAATAACAAACAAACATAAAATTGTTCATTGTAGTAAAAAAAAAAGCGACATTTTATGAACAGTGTGATTCCAGTTGAAAATAATGAAGGACATACTGATAAAGTAGCAGAATTCATCATTCAAACTTTACACAAAGACCTCTGAAAAAGTACAAGAAGTTTAAGACCAGAGGTTTCGGAACGGTAGGCGTCTTCTGGTTCATAGACGACACCGGCTACGAAAGTCTTTGTTGATGCAAGTAAATAGTACCATGGTCCAAAGCGAAAACAAGATAAACAACAATGAAACCACCAGACCAACTAACGGGCTTGAAAGACGTCCAGCTTCAGAACGCAAAAGGAAATAGAATATTTCTTGAAAAAATCTTCATCAACCTGCATCTCTCAAAACCCTGTGCTGTCAATTGCCGACAGCTTCCACAAAAATCATTATATTGGAAACAAGATATATAATATCTAAGAAATTGCGACGTGTAAACACCATAGGTTGAATTTTGAATTTTTTAAGTGCCGTTCTACACAAATAAATAAAGAATACATACAAGAAATTTTGATAATCTACGGTGTGTAGATTCTCAAATATGTAGTCATCAGGGTCTATTGAAGTCATATCTGACACAATACAGCCACAGTTTTCGTCCTGTGGGCTTAAGCATGCCTGTGTCCCAAGCAGCACCGCAAAGGCACATGCAAATTGCAGAATCTGTTAAATAATAAAAAACGAAAATTGCTAAGACAGACTGGAGTGCAGATCTGTAATGACTAATGAAAACTGATTTACAGATATAGATATCTGGATACATCTCCAATGTATACACATTTATAAGTAGATTTAAGATGACTTAGAATTAATAGCGGGCATTTTAAAAAATAATTTATTGAAATCAGAGTTAGAATCATTATGGTGCCTCATATCATACGATGCAAATAAAACGAGTTCATTATTGGTTGAAATTTAAATATGGCAATCATGTTAAAAATTCGTAACAAAAATAAAAGAAAATAGATTAAACAATACATACGTGAAGCGAACCCATTACTGGAAAAAAAAGATGAAATCAAGACTTATCGCAAACTTTTTTTTTCGCAAACTAAAGTAACTTTTATTTAGCTTATTCTCCAATGAAGAAATGACACGTGTACTTGGTTACTGATGTGTTTCTCCTTAGGACAACTTACAGCGTGGCTATTTAACTATTTACATATAGCTTCTATATAGCATACCATACCGCCGGCAAGGAACCCTTATATCTCATCACCAGAAACAAAATGACCTTGCCTTAACATGTAAGATATCTGTAAAAAAATAACTGTATCGTTGTACTCGCCCCTGGTGGTTTGCATGGTTATTGATAACTAAAGTGAGTCTCGCGATGGTATTAGACTTATCCTATTACCGTTTCGTCTTCTCTATATTTTCTTTGATCGCTGTCTCTTTCATATCCCGGCATACTACGAACCAGACTTAATATAGTAAACGAGAACCATCTATGTGGTCGTTTATATCCCTGTACCTGAGGGGCCAAATGTATTTTAAGACGTTTAAAAACTATATTTGCTTATTGTTATTTCCAGTACACTTGTCCTTATACCAATTTCAGCAGTTTTTGACTATCGGTGAAATACCAGAAAATTGAACAAAGGATCATGTACAAACATATTGTCAAATACATTAAGCATTCAACTATCTTTTTGTTATTATTATTATTGTTTACATCGTATCAGTATTTTCTGATAACGGACATGAACGTGTAAACAATTGAAAATATAGATCAAAAGAATATATACCTGTATAAAAAATCAAAGTCATTATATGCAATTAATCTATAATCCATTAAACTGGACCATTTTTGTTTGAAAGGTGTTAATGGTCATTATGATTAACCAATCGGTTTTCTTGCGTGATATCGGTAATGTAATACAAGAGCGAATAACACCTTTTAAAGCATAATTATAACATTATATGCTGATTCCGTATTATAAACAGAACAGTCTTTAAACACTGTAATAAAACGGTGGTTGAAAACCGTAAATGTAAACAGTATGGTTTGTTCAAGCCTAAGGCACACGCGTTTTACAACATGATGTCTCAATGATGAAGATACGTTTCAAAATATATAATGTTTAAAATTTTACACAAATATTATTTTTCAAATAAAAAACACATTCTCATTTTTGTTGACGCACTTTAGCAGCGCTGACAATTATGTCCCTTCTAATTTTTTTTCAGATTGTATCTGAATTTGATTAACCAATACCAACAACAACAAAATTACTGATGAAAATAATACAACTTCATAAAATCGTTGATATTCCTATCCATCCCTACAAAAATAAGATATTGTCGAGGCCATTTCATAAGAGGAGCGTAAACGTTGCCAAGGACAACCAAATACAATTCTGAATGTCATTTCATGACAAATGCATGAAAGTGCTAGGGACAGACAAGAGCAGCACATAATGTCGAGGCCATTTCATGATGAGAATAAAAATCTCGAAGGACAAGAAAATTAAACACTTAATGTCAGCACCTTTTCATGGTGGGAGAGTAAAAAATCGCTAAGGACAGCCAAGGCTACTTGATATCGGGACCATGCCTGATCATGAGGTCAGCTTAATGCAACACTTAATGTCGATGTTGGTGCAATATGTGGTAAGACATTCGAAGTGAATTGATATTGGTTCAAAGTGTATTTAGACAGTTGTGTATCTATGTTTATTAAAAGTGTATTTAAACTGCCAATGTGTATTGATGATAGTTCAAAGTGTCTTAAGACTGTCGATGTCTGTTGAGGTTGGTTCAAAGTTTGTTTAGACTGTCGATGTGTATTGATGATTGTTAAAACTGTGTTTAGACTATCGATGTGTGTTGAGGCTGGTTCAAAGTTTGTTTAGACAGTCGATGTGTATTGATGATTGTTAAAACTGTGTTTAGACAACCAATGTGTGCTGAGTTGCTTCAAAGAGTGTATTTGTAATATGACCCGACGAGTTTAGATTTAGTAGTGATATATAGTTTGAACTTTGCTGTACTCACTGTCGGACCCACCAGTTTAAAGCTCTATTGTATTCAGTGCCCGAAACTGTCATTTGTGTTTGGGATTTGTCACAATGAGTTTATTCCACCATTGTATATTGATATTGTTAGTTTTATCGAAGATAAGGGGGTAGTGTATGCCTTGTGTGTCATCGATGTACAGTGAGTTTATACGAGACCTGGCTGTAATTGTGTGACGAGATTAGCACAACATATAAACGATGAGATACAGTTAGTTTAGACCAGAATTGTTTGTAATTGTGTGTAGAAGTTAATTTAAAACTAGCATTGTGTAGTAGAAAATGTGAGGTACTGTGAGTATAAAAAACAGTTTACATAAAATGATGAGGCACAGATTGTATAGAGACATACTCTGAAGAATCAGAGAAGTACAGTTTATACTGACAATGTGTGTAAGAGATGAAGAGCGGTTAGCTTAGACAAGGTGAGTTAAGATGAACACTATTTGAAAAAAACGTTTCGTTACATTAGTCGCAAACTGTGATAGTTGATTAGTTTCAGTGAGTTAAGATATGTACTGAGTAGAACCTGTGTGATACAATGAGGTTAGACTGGCACTATGTATAAACGATGGAGTACATAGATTTCGGACTAGCACTTCATATAATCGATTGGGTACAGCTACTGCGGACTAGAACTGTATATAAACGATGAGGTACAGAGAGTCTGAACTAGCACTGTATATAAACGATGAGGTACAGAGAGTCTGGACTAGCACTGTATATAAACGATGAGGTACAGAGAGTCTGGACTAGCACTGTATATAAACGATGAGGTACAGAGAGTCTGGACTAGCACTGTATATAAACGATGAGGTACAGAGAGTATGGACTAGCACTGTATATAAACGATGAGGTACAGAGAGTCTGGACTAGCACTGTATATAAACGATGAGGTACACAGATTCTCGACTTGCACTATGTATAAACGATGAGGTACAGAGAGTCTGGACTAGCACTGTATATAAACGATGAGGTACAGAGAGTCTGGACTAGCACTGTATATAAACGATGAGGTACACAGATTCTCGACTTGCACTATGTATAAACGATGAGGTACAGAGAGTCTGGACTAGCACTGTATATAAACGATGAGGTACAGAGAGTCTGGACTAGCACTGTATATAAACGATGAGGTACACAGATTCTCGACTTGCACTATGTATAAACGATGAGGTACAGAGAGTCTGGACTAGCACTGTATATAAACGATGAGGTACAGAGAGTCTGGACTAGCACTGTATATAAACGATGAGGTACAGAGAGTCTGGACTAGCACTGTGTATAAACGATGAGGTACAGAGAGTCTGGACTAGTACTGTGTATAAACGATGAGGTACAGAGAGTCTGGACTAGCACTGTATATAAACGATGAGGTACAGAGAGTCTACTGTATATAAACGATGAGGTACAGAGAGTCTGGACTAGCACTGTATATAAACAGATGAGGTATAAACAGAGATACAGAGAGTCTGGACTAGCACTGTATATAAACGATGAGGTACAGAGAGTCTGGACTAGCACTGTATATAAACGATGAGGTACAGAGAGTCTGGACTAGCACTGTATATAAACGATGAGGTACAGAGATTCTGGACTAGCACTGTATATAACCGATGAGGTACAGAGAGTCTGGACTAGCACTGTATATAACCGATGAGGTACAGAGAGTCTGGACTAGCACTGTGTATAAACGATGAGGTACAGAGATTCTGGACTAGCACTGTATATAAACGATGAGGTACAGAGAGTCTGAACTAGCACTGTATATAAACGATGAGGTACAGAGAGTCTGGACTAGCACTGTATATAAACGATGAGGTACAGAGATTCTGGACTAGCACTGTATATAAACGATGAGGTACAGAGAGTCTGGACTAGCACTGTATATAAACGATGAGGTACAGAGATTCTGGACTAGCACTGTATATAAACGATGAGGTACAGAGAGTCTGGACTAGCACTGTATATAAACGATGAGGTACAGAGATTCTCGACTTGCACTATGTATAAACGATGAGGTACTGAGAGTCTGGACTAGCACTGTATATAAACGATGAGGTACAGAGATTCTCGACTTGCACTATGTATAAACACTGTAGCACTGTATATAAACGATGAGACAGAGATTCTGACTAGCACTGTATATAAACGATGAGGTACAGAGAGTCTGGACTAGCACTGTATATAAACGATGAGGTACAGAGAGTTGGACTAGCACTGTATATAAACTTGCACTTGCATGTATAAACGATGCGGTACTGAGAGTCTGGACTAGCACTGTATATAAACGATGAGGTACAGAGATTCTCGACTTGCACTATGTATAAACGATGAGGTACAGAGATTCTGGACTAGCACTGTATATAAACGATGAGGTACAGAGATTCTCGACTTGCACTATGTATAAACGATGAGGTACTGAGAGTCTGGACTAGCACTGTATATAACCGATGAGGTACAGAGAGTCTGGACTAGTACTGTATATAAACGATGAGGTACAGAGAGTCTGGACTAGCACTGTATATAAACGATGAGGTACAGAGATTCTCGACTTGCACTATGTATAAACGATGAGGTACTGAGAGTCTGGACTAGCACTGTAAATAAACGATGAGGTACAGAGATTCTGGACTAGCACTGTAAATAAACGATGAGGTACAGAGATTCTGGACTAGCACTGTATATAAACGATGAGGTACAGAGATTCTGGACTAGCACTGTATATAAACGATGAGGTACAGAGAGTCTGGACTAGCACTGTATATAAACGATGAGGTACAGAGATTCTGGACTAGCACTGTATATAAACGATGAGGTACAGAGATTCTCGACTTGCACTATGTATGGGGTACAGAGAGTCTGAACTAGCACTGTAAATAAACGATGAGGTACAAATAGTTTGGACTAGCACTGTATATAACCGATGAGGTACAGAGAGTCTGGACTAGCACTGTATATAACCGATGAGGTACAAATAGTTTGGACTAGCACTGTGTATAAACGATGAGGTACAGAGAGTCTGGACTAGCACTATGTATGGGGTACAGAGAGTCTGGACTAGCACTGTATATAACCGATGAGGTACAGAGAGTCTGGACTAGCACTGTATATAAACGATGAAGTTCAGAGATTCTGGACTAGCACTGTATATAAACGATGAGGTACAGAGAGTCTGAACTAGCACTGTATATAACCGATGAGGTACAGAGAGTCTGGACTAGCACTGTATATAAACGACGAGGTACAGAGAGTCTGGACTAGCACTATGTATGGGGTACAGAGAGTCTGGACTAGCACTGTATATAACCGATGAGGTACAGAGAGTCTGGACTAGCACTGTATATAACCGATGAGGTACAGAGAGTCTGAACTAGCACTGTATATAAACGAT